CTGGCCAACCAGGTCTCCACTTGGGTTCACAGGAGTCTATTGAACATTGTAGGGCTTAGCTTGCCTAAAACATTGCTGTTTTTCCCTCACTTCCCCTTATTGGTGATGAACGTGGTCACCAAACAGAGCGTGTATTCCCATTGAGTCTTAGTCTTGGAATGGGGTTTGCTCTGAGGGGACTTGACCACTTGCCTTAATGTCTCCTGGGTAAGCAGCTTGTTCTTGTAGTAATCAATCGGTCTGCCTATATTGTATTTTTCCTGTCAGTCCTTGATTCAAGAAGTATCTTTTGTTTTTCTAGCTGCTCCAGGCTGGTCTGCTTGTCCTTTCAAGTGGAAATTTCCCACCTCTGAGGATTCAGGATGCTGTTCAGGATTCCACCTATGGCCTTATGTAATGCAGAGGCTCCACAGGAAGCCTCCTTCATTGGGCACGTTGTATCCCCATTTTAGGTATTCCAATAAGTTATAGGCAGAAGATGGACTTGCAAGCTTTCTATGGTGATATTTCTAGCTATTCCTTTCTCTCCCCCTCAAGTGTCTATTTTATAATGGTATGCCAGGGAAACCAAGATTGATAAGACAGCCAAGCATCGTAACATTATTTTCCCCCTTTTGCCTATTCCAACCATGCCTCAGTCCCTGTATACCAGAACCCTTTTGTTCCAAGATTGTGCATACATCATTATTTACCTCTATCCTACTGTTACTGGCTCTTCTTTTTTTGATGGTAGTGAAATCACCTTGTGCCTGCCTCAGAGAGCTCACTTTAAACCCAGCAGGATGACAAAATTGACCATTTCCCCCACTGTTGTTGTTGTTAAGTGCCATCGAGTCGGTTCCGACCCATAGCGACCCTGTGCAGGGTTTCTGAGGGTGTAAATCTTTATGGGAGTAGAAAGCCTCATCTTTCTCCCGCGGAGCAGCTGGTAGTTTTGAACCGCTGACCTTAAGGTTTGCAGCCCGATTCGTGACCACTACGCTACCAGATTTCCCTCACTAGAGTTCCATTTATCCTCTTTGCATGCTCCTACTCCACATAGGTACCATGCATCTTTTCTACACTTAGGAGCAAGCCATCAATCCCCTTGGTGTGAGAAAGGCATATTGCATTTGCTTAGTCCGACACAGTCGTTTGGTTTTAATTGCGAAGGCTATGGCCTAAAGAGCCATATCAAGCAATTCACTGTACCACAATATCTACTATGTGGCCACACACTACTGTGGATGCTAGGATTATAGCTATAGAAAAAGACAGGAAAAATCCCTGTCCTCTTAACAGCTTTTATTATAATTAGGAAACAATGAATAAACAGTTAAGTAAAATATAGATCACTGTGGTACATATAAATCTGTTCTTGTATCAAACACTAAAATCCGAAGACCAGAAGAGTTTGTGGGATGACATCAAGAAAATCATACATGAAGAAAGCAAAAAGTCATTAAAAAGACAAGAAATAAGGAAAAGATCAAAATGGATGTCAGAAGAGACACTGAAACTTGGCTTCAGTGTAGAGATGCTAAAGCAAATGGAAGAAATGAGGAAGTACAAGAGCTGAACAGAAAATTTCAAGGGTCAGCTTGACAAGACAAAGTCAAATATTACAACAAAATTTGCAAAGATCTAGAGTCAGACAACCAAAAAGGAAGAACACTCTCAGCATTTCTCAAGCTGGGGGAACCGAAGAAAAAAATTGAAGCCTCGACTTGCATTATTGAAGGATTCTCTGGCAAATTATTGAATGATGCAGAAAGCATCAAAAGAAGATAGAAGAAATACACAGTCACTGTACCAAAAGGAAATGGTT